CCTCAAAAGAAGAAATAAATGATTTTTTAAAAACAATAAATAAAAAAGATTAATGATAATGAATCTGGCGACCGTGCATCGGACACCCGGCCCAGGTGAAAATACATCCCAGGGTTGAAAAACACAAGAAAGCCTGCAGCTGCTGGGAACTGCGCCCTTAAACTAAAGCCGTACATTTTGGCGAAGTTTGTCTACCATTTGGGCTGAAGTGTCTAGTTTTAGTAGTTGAACAAATCTTGTTTTAAAATCAACAACAAAAAAATCATGGTACTGTTTTGCTCGTGGACTGCTGTGCACATGGCTGTTACTATAAATATCGGCCAATGGCGTACATCTGTCGTTCTCAAGTTATCCGCATGTCTGCTGTGCTGAGAGTTGAGTATTGTCCCACCGTGTCATTTCATGCTTTTCTCACAAAATATTGTGATGATGATGATCATGATGACGAGGAAAACAATAACAACAACAAGCACAGCAACAATAATGATAATAATAATGAGAAGGAGAAGGAGAAGGAGAAGGAGAAGGAGAAGGAGAAGGAGAAGAAGAAGAAGAAGAAGAAGAAGAAGAAGAAGAAGAAGAAGAAGAAGAAGAAGAAGAAACAACAACAAAAATAATAACAGTGTTAATTATAATAATAATCCCATTTTCAATAATAATAATAATAACTGTGATGATAATGATATGAAATTGCAGATATAGATGTTTGCGCCTCTATGGACACAGTTTAGATTTGTTTGTATATTCAGCTTCTTCGACGCATCTGTCAAGGCCACTTGGGCTGAGATGGATACTGCTTCCCTATTGACAGACTGAGACGCTCAATAAAGAAATATGAGCACTAGGGAACCGAGCTCACGTCTTGTGCGAGCGGTGGCGGAGCGTCTAACACCATAAATAGTATAGTGTAGTAGTAAAAGTCATAAAGATCATAGTAATGAAAAGGATAATATTGATAGTAATATTCATGTAGATGTACTTATAAAGTTAACTCCAAATTTCTTAAAGCGAAAGGCTCTGGAATATTTAACTGGAAAATAAAGTGCAATTTAGACTTTCTGTAATCGTGTAAAGTAAAGAAGTAGGCATTTATTATTATTTTTCTTTTGTGCCCTTTTCACGAATCTCATAAGGTAGAACTATTGTAGAATTGGGGTCCATAATCCTTCTGCCAGCAATGACGCGCTGAAAATTCCTTAGGCTGGGTATTTCCAACCTTACGTGGTGTTTTCCCTTTCTTTTACTGGCCATAGAAAGGGAGGGAGTGCCACGAAAAACAATAAGATAAAAGTGAGATTCGCTTGAAGACCATTCTGTTTTCAACAAAATAAATAATAAACAGAAACCAAAGAAAAGAAAATTAAATGAGGATAGTGGGCCTGGGGAAGGGAGTTTGATCTCGTTTTTTAAGTGGCACAAAGTGGATATAAAATCCGGAGTGTCAACACGTTACATTAATGTGCTAACAGGTTGGAAAATAAAACTACTGTTCAACATAGCGGATCTTCTTGGTTGTTATGATGCTAGTATTTTTGCTAGCCTTTCCGATTTCATTTTTGATTCTTGAGATTGAGAGAGAAGAATGAAACGAAGAGAAGAAAAAAGACAGAAAAAGACAATGATTAAGAAAAGTGGACCAGAAAGACAGACAGAGAGAAATGGAAACTTTAAAAAAATGTAATACATTAAAGACGATAATATTCTTATACAATCTGCAATCTCTTCAATGTTTATAAGACCGTGGATTTTGCTCGTAATCATACACTATGTGCGGTCTAATATCCGAGGCGCAACTTATCCTCAAGTATCTTTTTAACGGGTAAATCAGTTTCACCCATACTTTTGCACAGCAGTTTATATCAATTTGTGTTAAGTCAGTCACATTCTGTCACAACAATTGAGGCTACTGAAAAAAAACCCCACTTCGTCACGTCATAAATATATATAAAATAATACATATCTCCGTCATACGGAAAATGGAAGTCTTTACAGCCTTTATCACTTCTCACACACATTTTGCTTACGTTGGTGGACTACGTAACAGCTCACCAATGACACTTTTTAAATGTTTCTTTCGATACAGAGGTTACATGTGGGTCAAAGTGATTGCCAGGAAAGCAGAAGCGCTTCACTGTGTCTGGGCAGGTAAGCATACATGTCTGTATTTGATTTGATTTAGATTTGTAAGCTCTGTGTTTCAGTTCAGAGCTTGTTTTGCCATTTCCAGTACATGCGTTAAATTTTTTAAAAATATTATCGTGTTTTCTGAACCAACATGAAACGACTTAACAGATGTCGATCGTTTCCTTTGCATTAAGAAATTGGCGCTGTACATTATAAAACTTTAAAAAAAATTTGTATCAAACCTGCCTACAATCTGCTCAAGGTGTATGTGCTGCTTGCTAACTTAAGTAAAGAAGTTTGATTTTTTTTTCATGGTCTGGAAATAACCACTCTTTTCATGGACCACTCCCGACCTTTGCTTCTATTACGCTGAGAG